TCCAAGTGTTTTCTGACATTTTCCTAAATGCTTTTCAAATTCCCTCCTTGTTTTCTCTTTTCAGACAAAAGAACGTCACAAACTGGAAGCACTTAAAAAGAAGCAGGAGCAAGAGGAGGAGAGGATGAAAAAAATGGAGGAAGATAAGAAAAGGAAACAGGAGGAACTTAAGAGGTTAGTGTTCCAAAGAATTCCAGAGTTAATACTTTTTTTATTACCTTCATCTTGTAGCATATCATAACTGTTACAATTTGTGTTGCAGGAAGAGGGATGAGAGGCTGAGGAGGGTGTTTGAGGCCAAAGTAAAAGAAGAGCAGAGGGAGGAAGAAAAGAAAAAGAAGATTGAGCAGAAAATGGCTCAGATTGATGAAATGAAAAATGATAAGGTGTGCAACACATTTCATGGCTCTGAATCTACGTGTTCATGCCAAATACACAGCCCCTTTTTGTCTAATCTATCTCATTGTCTCACATTGTGTCTCTTCACGCAGCGTGTGGCAGACGAGAAGAACAAGAAGAAGGTGGCCCTGAAACGACAAGAGGAGCTGGAGCAGAAAAAGAAATTGGAGGAAGAGGCTCGGAAGAAGAAGATTCAACAAGCAGTGAGACAAAGTTTATTTTTTAATTATTTATTCGGTTATCTCTTGTTGTAGCTGTAGATGGGGGCGCTCACCGGCTTTAGCCAATAGTCGACTACACATTGAAGTCTAGCCACCAACCATTTACCATATGTATTAATGTTAAAAGTGATTTTGCTGTTGTGAACTTCCTCTGCAATGACGCACCGTGATCAGGCTTCTCTTATGCGGTATGCGTTTCTTAAAACTTCAGGAGGAAGAGAAGCGGCAACAGGAGCTTCTGGCCAAAAAGAAGGCAGAGGAGGAGGAACAGCGAGTTCGTAAACTGGCTGAGGCTCGCAAAGCACTAGAGCTGAAGAGGGAACAGGAGCGTGAGAGAGAGCTGGAGAGAGAACGACAAGCTGCTGCTGAAAGGTTTGTCTCTGTCCTCACACTACTGTCACTGCTCTTGTGAAGTCACCGAGAAAGTTTTTTTTTTCTCTAGAGTTTATTTCACTGACTTGAGTTCTTTATTTAATTATCTTCCCCAGAGAGCGAGTGGAAAAAGAAAAGGCTCTCGCTCTGCAGCGTGAACTGGAGAGAGCAGCGAGAGAGAGGGAGAGGAGAGAACTAGAGGAGAAAAGGAAGGCTCTTGAGGAAAAAAGAAAACGGGTAAGAAGTCAAAATTCACAATGTCTAACTGAATGTTTTATCTGTCTAAAATAAAACCAGACACAAACAAGTGTGAGCAGGTACATGGTCAGAAAACACAGAATTTTGATTAAGATGAAGCAATTACTCAAATGAATTAAACTGATCAGTCAGGCAACAAGATACCTTCTCCATGTGACTGTGGTTACGTATTTGATGACAGCAGCATTAGAATCTACTTTAAGTTATCAAAACACTGAATACAGATCACTCTTACAGGAGAGTCTGCTTCTAAGCTTTTAGTATGACAGATTATCACCTTAACCTTCATTGTTTCATGGAAACTGGAGCTCACATGATGTATTTATAGCAACAAGTGCCATTTTTAAGGTTAATACATTGAGATGTTTTGCAGCTGATGTTGATGTGCGTTTTGTTCCTGCAGGAAGAGGAGCAGAGGTTGGCTGCAGAGGAGAAAGCAGCTAAAGAGAGAATCGCTGCTAAACAGAGGGAGGCTGCTGCTAAACAGGCTGCTAAAGTACAGGTAAACCAGCCTTAATTAATGTACACTACTGAAGTGAAACCTTTGCAAGAGCTGACAGGATGCAGACTGTCAGCTCTTGCAAAGGTTTGAATGAATCAGACGTCTGAATCAGACATATTTTTTTGTAAACACTGCCACAAAATAAATAAAACATAGATCACAACATAAAGATTGATACTTTCATTGAATTCTTCACAGCTGCATGAGATTCATTCAGACTGTCCCCACTCGTCTCTCTACCTCTCTTTCGCTCGCTTGTGCTGACACACACACATACTGTAGTGACATCAGACATATCTGTGTCATACATGTAATTCACATGTAAGAGCGGAGAAGTAAGATTTTTATCACAAGTGGTCACAGGAGACACCAGAAACCTGAATAATGATGTAATGTAATAACTAAACATTTTCCTCTGCTCTCTGTAATGAAGGCTACTGCTGCTTCTGGCCTAAATGTGACCGTGGATATCGAGGTGAGACAAGTTTCACTTTTAGCCTTTGATAAACAAAATGACACAATGAAATTGAAATAAAAATTCTACAGCTTTGCATGTAAGGGAAACTGGTTGGATTTGGTTTCTATGAATTTCAGTATAGTTTCTATCATTGTTATTTAGTGACTGTGTAAATGTACATGAATGCTTTACCTGAATGTTTAAAGATCTGCGTGTGGGCTTTGTCTCTGCATGTCGAGCCTTGGTGAAAACATATTTACCACTTCTCTCTTGAATCTCTTCAGAACTCTGTAATGAGAACACCTGTGGGAAAGGGTGGTGGCCTCAATGTGACCGTAGATATTGAGGTACCTTTTTTTATTATGTTCTAGAATTTAATTGATTTCTATCTTAAAACATGATGTAACTTTCTTCCTCATCAATGTGTGTGATATCCTTCTCGGCAGCAATCACCACAGTCGTACTCCATCACTCCAAAGGGCGGCAACAAAACTCTGACTTTGTCCAAAAGTGCTGAGGATTATGGGATGGACCAAAACAGTGACGACTCTACTGATGATGAGTCTGCCCCAAGGAAACCTATTCCGTCCTGGGCTGAGGGTATGATGAATTAATATTATTGTCATTTATTATGTTCAGTTGCGGTTTCACAAATCTGCTGTAGTCATTAATCCAGTTTAGTGATGTTAGTTTCATGTCAGTCGTGGTTCACTCAACCACGGTCCAGTGACAGCTTAGCAACTTTATCTGGTGATCACAGATGGCGTCATTTTCGCAAACAGAGAGGCAAGGTATACCCTGGACAAGTCGCTAGCATATCGCAGACCTACAGGCAATTTAGCGTCTCCAATAAATCTGATCTACGTGTTTTTTTACATGAAAACATCACAGGCTGCAATTGACAAAACTGGCTAAAATCAGGCAGTTGTAATATTATAACACGCCTGAATGGTTTTTAATGAATACAGGCTTATTTGTTGTATGGTTCTAATTTCAGTTTCATGTTTTCTCCTCCCAGGTCCCAACCTGCAGCAGATCATCATGAAGCAGTACTTCAACCCTCCTGACTTAGATTCTTTCTTTGGGAAAATTGAACCTCCAAAACTGGAAAACATCTTTTACAAGAGCAAGCCTCGTTATTTTAAACGCACCAGCTCTGCTGTGTGGCACTCTCCTCCCGTTGGGGAGTAATGTCTGTACGCTGATACAGATTGACACTGCTGTATAAAGTAATTTTTTTGCCTTAGTCTGTTTCCAATAAAGTAAAATGTTTTTTTTTCTTTCTCTGAATGTTTTTCTATTATTGAATTTAAAGGTTTTAGGTTTGAGCGTTTTAGGAACAATATTACTCATTTGTAAAATATCATGTATTTGGGTGATACATGTGGGATAAACTTGATGCTTCACACTTTTACAACCCAGTGGGATCTGACTCCTTGAAAGTGTTTGCCAAATCATCAGAAAAATGTTCATGTGTATAATTTGTGTACTGAATGTAAATGATAGTAGATGTCCCTAATTTGGGATTTATTAAATGTATTAAAATGGTGATTGGTGCAAATGTATTGTTCAGTTTGCAGCTTTTAAAAGGTTTGATGATGCATATCACATTTGTCAGTAAAAAATTACATCTGCTGAAGATGTAAGATGAACAAATGTCAAACACAGGTACTCACCCACTCAGTCTAGAGAAAAGATCTAATCTGTCCATGTAAGGGTGGTTATGTAAATATACCATAGATATCCAGCAATTTATATCAACCAGCTTGTGTTGATAAAGGTCCTTTTCATAGTAAAGCTTTCATTGATAAACTGATTATCATGATGATAATAATAACGGATAAAAACTCCACCTTAGGTTGTTTATTAATGTTTTAATTTAATTCAGCATTCAAAGAGATAATTAGACTGCACATGGATGTTCAGAGGGATTGTCATCACCATCCCCTTTAACTGCTAACCATCCTGCCAGGTTGTTTGATTTTCAGCTCGGTTGAGATATACCTTTCCTTAAGTGGGCCAGTGTAAACTCATTTGTGTGGGTTTGTATAAGTGTTTTTAGATTCTGAGGGAGGCGTATGGTAAAGACACAAGTCAGAGATGTGACTGGTGAAATACACAGCATTAGTAACATAAGTACGGTAAGGATATAATCTCCAAGAAACAAGGGGAAATGAGACGCTCACCATAACTGCCTGTCTGAGAATCACCACAATTAAAAAAGCCATTGCTCGGGTTCACACCTAAGGTCAACGTGAAGTCTCCAGATAACCTAACGTCCAGTGTGTCTGTTAACTGCAGGAGAAAACAAACTCCAGTCAGAAAGACCCTGGCCAATCTGGGATTTGAACTGATAACCTTTTTCGGCGCCATTGCGAACCACTGCTCCCATCACCAGTTATACTTTGATTAAGCTGTTGATATACCTGATATATGTTTTGTTCTGTTTTTGATTTTTTGTTATATTTACTTAAGTTCAGTATTTTCTTGTATAGTACTGATATCTTGTTGACTATTTGTGTGCATTTACCATAGTTGTCACTACATCTAATAATACATGGCACACATGAACTGCTAATTGTGAAGTGTAATTATGTAGAAAGTGAGGCTTTTTTATAGCTCATATTATATATCCCGATTCTTTCAAAATATTGCACCTTTTATTTTGTATTTAAGATTAATGTGAAAGTACGTAAAACACAAAGTATTTATACACTGATGGAGTTTTCTAGACTCCTGCTCCGTGTTTTAGTCAAACCTGGCAACGCGGGCATCAGTGAAATACGAGGGCGTGGCTTAATCCACCGTTTACACACGTTCGTGACGTCCCGCTGGTCCACAGGTCCGCTCATGTCTGTGGAGCATCGAACACATCACACTTCGACACGTGTTTGTGTGAGCGGCCCCTGATCCACGCGCCAGGTAGGGTCCTCTGCTCGTGCTGTGTCTGTGGGTGAACGAGCTGCTGCACGTTGTGTGACTGTGTCGGTGAACTTAGCAGTCAGCTAGCTGTGCTGTGGAGAATACATGCTAAGCTAATCGGTCACATCACCGGTGTCCTCTGGTAGAAGCTGCTCTGTTAGCTTGTGCTGAAGTTAGCGGCCATCACGTCTCCAGAGGACCTGTGTGTTGTGTCAGAGTTTATTTTCTATTTGAGGTTTTAATTCCTGTGTCCGCTCTGTGGCGGTGTGATCTTCAAATTGATTGTTTCTCATTGTTTTCTATTGTTTCTCTTTTTCATTTTTAACTTGTATCTTGTAACTGTGTATTGAAATGTTCTAAATAATATTACTATTATTATTATTATTATTATTATATAGAGTTAACAGTGTCTGTGACCAACATTGTCTCACAATTACAACTAGTTTTATTTTGCAGTCATTGCAAAGCACTGCAATGTGGATTTTTAAATGTGCTCTATAAATCAAATGGATTCTTATTCTCATATTTGTATTTTTCTTATAACCTTGACATGGAGAAAGTTTGTCTCCCTTAAACGACCAATGCTTCGGAACTGGGCAGTGCCCCATTGCAGTTACCCTGGAGTAGCACTGTCTTTCACACAGAGGTGAACTCCCCTGAGATATTGCTGCATGTGAACTAAATCATTTTAATGTAAAACATGTCTGTAATTGCACTCGCTGCATCTGAGTCTTGGCAGAAGTCTCAACGGTATGTGTCTCGAAATATAGTGTAAGTAAGGAATAAGCTGTCCCCTTTTGTAATTAAGGTGAACTGACTGTTTCAACATTGCACATCAGTTATAGTGAATTCACTGATGTGAATGTTTCCATCAACATGCTGAAGTTTGGTGAGAAGTGATATGTGTCGGGTGATGTTGGCAGCGATGGTGCAGGAGAACAGCATCATCAGGCAGTGTCCGCTTTCTAGTTCATGATAAAAGTCCTACTGCATCCGCTGGGTTTTTAGTACTCATCCAGGTCTTTGCTTTTATTTAACTTGCAAAATGTCCAATTAAACTCTGCCCTTAATTTGATCTGACTCATTTATTCACTGTTGTTTTTTACAGAAATGAGTTCGCAAATCCGACAAAACTTCCACCAGGACTGCGAGGCAGCCATTAACAGACAGATCAACTTGGAGATGTATGCCTCCTATGTTTACCTCTCTATGGTAATTCCTTTTTTTTAAACGGGAACAACATGCACATCCAATAAAAAATCTTTTCATTGTTGCTTGATTCGCAAAATGTTTGTAAAGACAAAATCTGCAGAAAAATAGTAACAAAAAACCAGATATCAACTTGTGTATACTATTTATGTCACATCAATAGTTGGTTTATCATAACAGGTTCAGGCTAAATAGCCGTCATAACTACAAACTATTAGAGAAATATGTTCAAGCCAGCAATTCAGTGCACATCTTTTCTGCTCAGGGATGTTTGTGATGAAAATCAAGTTCTCTCATCTTTCCCTGTGTTGATCTTTAGGCGTACTACTTTGATAGGGATGATAAATCCCTGCCAAACTTTGCCACGTTCTTCCGCACACAGTCCAAAGAAGAGCGTGAGCACGCAGAGAAGCTGATGAGTCTGCAGAACCAGAGGGGAGGCAGGATCTTTCTGCATGACATCAGGGTTTGCACTGATACTTTTCTAACAATGTCGCTGTCTGTCTGCATCATTATTATTGATTTTTTTTTTTCGAGCAGGGTAGTTAGATTCACAAGGTCAATCTTTTCTTTCCTTTGAGTCCTTTAAGTGTTACTGTGTTTTGGTTTGTGAAATAAGCTGCAAGTGCCAGCATATAAAAACTGTATTCATTAGTTGGTTATGTTTTTTTTGTAAAGAGAGAGAGAAAAAAAAGAACATATCATGATTATTGATTTTCCTTGAATTATTTATGTGTCTCAGAAACCTGATAGAGATGAGTGGGGGAGCGGCCTGGAGGCTTTGGATTGCGCTCTGCAGCTGGAGAAAAGTGTAAACCAATCTCTCCTGGACCTGCAGAAAATGGCATCAGAACACAATGATCCTCATGTAAGCAGCAGACTAAGGGCAAAAGGATACAGGATGCAGCTGCCTCATGTTCATTTTGTGTGTGTGTATTGCTCATTTTGTGAATCTGAGCTTTAGAGGGATAGTGGGTTGTCCTGGAAACACCTAAGCTACTTTCAGACATGCACTGAACCTCCGGACATTCTCTGGAGGGGCTTTATGTGAGAACGTAAATGTCTGAGTGAGAGCCTCCACACTTTCTCTGTGTGGCCCTCTAGTATGAAGTCAGCAGAATGTCTGAAGGAGCTGATATGAGAACACAGCAGCAGATCCTCTGCAGGTTTCACTGCGAGCAAGTGGGGGTGTTGATGACGTTTGTAACACGCGACAGACGCAAAAGTACAAAATGTTTTTGTACTTTTGCGTAGTACTCACTCACGGTGAATCCAGTGAGGGATCCCCTGCTTTGTTCACACATCGACGTCTGGATGACTACAGGCTTTGAACTCAAATTGTTGTTCGTAGTTGGCGAGAGGGAGAGACAGATAGCCCATTAAACCTCAGATGAGTGCGCCTGCTCTGTGATCAATTGTTTTAAATCAACTAAATTCACAATGTAGTTTTTATTCACAAACTGTTCTGTTCTCACAGTACGAAATGTGATCGTGGCTCAAAAATACAACCATCAGTCATTACCAAGCTGCTGAGCTGTAAATAAAATCATTATTTTATGATCCCAACATCATAATAAAAAAATAGCATAAGTATGTGGTAATGTCAGCAGCTGCTCTATGAGATATAGAGACATTTGAAATGAGTGATGGCTGATGCTATAAAAGGTTCAATACAGAAAAAGACCTAAAAGCCAAATTTGTTTTTGAAAAACAAAAAAACTGAAGCCTGCATGAGAACCGATTCTCTGCTTCTCACATGAATGTCTTGTCATGTATTTCCCACAGATGTGTGACTTCATAGAAACACATTTTCTGGACGAGCAGGTGAAGTCCATCAAACAGCTTGCTGACTGGATCTCAAATCTGCGCCGCATGGGAGCCCCTCAGAATGGCATGGCCGAGTACCTCTTTGACAAACACACCATGGCTGAAGAAAGCAATTAAACCACACTGCTACACTACACTGATCATCCTGCTGACCTCTGCATGCAAACATGCCCCAAACCCTGAAATGCACTACACAATGTAAGTTCGCAAAAGCCATAGATCTCTGTGTAACCTGGACTGCTGCTTCCCTCGCTCCCTGTTACATTCCAGATTACAAACTATTCCAGGAGTGTTTTGTAAGAATGTAGCCAGAACATTCTTTACATTTACGCATTTGTGTGTTCTATTTATATATTTTGCATCCAACATATGGTGACAAAACAACAATTTAAAGGACCAGTGTGTAGGATTAGTGGCTGTTAGAGATGAAGCTGCAGATTGAAATGAACTGAACACTCCTCCCCGTACTCCTCACATTCCCAAGGAGTTGGAGAATCCACCGTCTCTGGAACCTTGGTTTTGTCTGTTACTGCTACTGTAGAAACACAGATGCAACATGGCGGTTCTTGTGGTCCATGTGTAGACATGAGGGGCTCAGTCTGAACTAATAAAAGCACAACTCTACTTTAAAGTGATTGATTCAGGTGAATTCAGTATGCTTATTAATATTGTTTTTTATGTGGTCAATAGATACCCTAAATACGGCACACTGCTATTTAAATGTCTGAGCTGAAATGTGTGTGTATGGAAGCTGGGCTGTGTCATTTATAGGGTTTTAGCAAATGTAAAATCACAAAAGGTGGAAATAAAAGAAAATTAAAACCTGACATCTCTATTTCACTAATTTATTTTTTGTTTTTTAACACCTGATACTTCAACCTGTCTTGAAATGGCTTGAGTTTAGATAGAACAGTGCTGTGGTTTAACTGTCCACAGCTCATGTCCACACAAAGACTGTGCCTCTTATTTTATAAACTTTGGAAACATTACACACTTATGTGACATTATGTTCACATCATCCTACTGCAAATAATGTTATCGACAGCGGCTGTGAGTTCTTTGTGCGCTGACGTCTAATCTTAAATCTGGTACTTCAGTACAGTCGGAGCTGAGGTGGTTGATATCCCTGAACAGAACTTTTCAAATGTTAAACACTATTGACCACCACATGTTTTAAAGAGCAGCATTCATATGTGAATTTGTATCTTAGTTAACATGCAATAGTAAAAACAATAATTCATGATTTAACCATAATCTCAATAAACGTAATTCAGTAGCTTATATCACTGAATTCAGTCACAGTCATTTTCCTTTTTTATTTTCATATTCGACAAACACCACATGAGTGATGTATTGATAATTAACCAAGGTTGCAACTTACTGAGGTTAGAAATGAAGATGTCACATTTAAGCCTCCACAGACAGTAGGTGCATGTTATCGTGAATTCAAACTGCCTGTGAGAGTGAACTCATGAAATGTGAAGTGCACATTCATTTTTCAAATGATATAAAATGTTACCTTGAGGCTCTGATGTGGCAAAACCAGTAAAATATTTTCTCAGTTATCTCTTAGTGGGACAGACTGCTTCTCTCTGCAGACGCTTTATATAATCTAAATAAATATAATATGAATTGTACACACACTCCTTGAACAATAGGAAAATAGAGTTGGGAAATCATTTAAGGTTTCATTTTTTTATTGAAAAAAGTCTTGATAAAATGACAAAAGTAGACATGATAAGTAATATTTAAAGAGTACACTGATGGAAACATTAATGCGGCTACAAGAGTTAAAGAGAATATACACAAATTGGTTTCTTGTTTCTGTGTCAGAAGAAACAGCAAAGTACTCCTTATTTTTCCTTCACATGTGGACGGTTCAATTTCATAAGGTGCTTTTTGCATCACAAGGAAGTTAATTGTTCTGTAACAATTTGTCCGGAAGTAGAGATTAACCCAGTGTTAACTCAACAAATAGTTTTCAGTCGTGTGTGAGGCTCTAGATTTTAGACGGAACATAGGTCAGTACCTGTGTGTGTATGTGTGTGAAATATTTGTAATGACGAGTGATACAGAAACACTGTCACACGTCCTGTTCCTGCCCTCCCGACTCCTTTTTCACGCTGCCATCCACCAAAACGCCCAGCAGGTCCCCTTCAGCCAGGGAGATTCCTGAATCATTGGGCGAGTGTTGCTGGTTGGTTTCTTGCGGAGATGAGGCTGACGCGGAGACCAGGTTCATGTTGTTGCTAAGCCCACCATTGTTGCCTCCGTTGCTTGCCCTCATGCTGGCGCTGAAGTTCCCATGGTTACTAAAATTAGTGTGACTTGTACCGTTACAGAGACTTCCCGTCGGGCCAGCGCTGTTGGTGCTGGTTGCATTAATGCTGCTAGAGCTGCTGTTGGGATTACTGGGGTTTATTGCGGCTGTTCGAGGGGGAGGATTGAACGAGAACACCCGTTCTCCTCCATTTCCTGCAGCTCGAGCACTCGCGGGTCCGGGCTGGCTTTCGGACATGGGGAGGTTGTCCAAAGTAAGGCGAGGAGGAGGAGGCCGGCGAGACAGCAGGCCGTGTCCTGGTCTGATTTTAGATATTGGGCAAAGCTCAGGTGGAGAATCTGGGAAGGAGAAGGTCAGGGCACTCTCGCCATCTTCATTCAACCAGGGGAAAGCAGAGGATGGAGGTTGGGGGACATGGCCAGGGGTGTCAGGGGGTAGCAGCTGCGAGCCCAGCATTGGATGGGCGAGGGAGCTGCAGCTGCGATCCCACTCGTTTTGGGCCCTCCGGGTGGGTCGAGGGCGAGGCACAGCAGGAGGGACGCAGTGGATGGGTGTTTGTGGGCAGCTGTAGAAACCTGGTCTCTCATACAGGGGCATGGTGGAGAAGGCATAGTCCGGATCTCGCTCTTGGTTCAAAGGCTGGCGGACTTGACCTGGTGTTGATGGAGCTTCTGGGTGTAGGTAAAGAGGGAAGCGGCTCAGTGGAGCTCCAGGGCGGCGGCGCAGCAAAGACACCCGGGAGGAGCGAGGAAAGTTAGGGGACTGGACGCCAAGGAGACGACCCAACCCTCCGAGCAGTGGGGTGGAGTAGTTGGCTTCTTCATGTTCCTTGATCTGCTCCAGATTGGACTGAAACTCCATCTCCTCCTTAGGAACACTGGTTCAGATTACACACATGGTTACATGACAGAGTATTTCAGAATCATCTGACAGGAAATAAAGACGTTACTGAACCTGATATCCAGAGCCGAGCCCATGAAGGAGGGTTTGCGGTGTTCAGCACTGGCAGCGGTGTAGGGAGGTTGAGGCTCAGACTCATTCCAGTACATGTCCCTCTCAACCAGCGGCAGGCTGTCGTACATCTCATCCACAGACAGCAAGGACACCTGGGAAAAACCACGGCAGGTGGAACAAGACAAACACTGTCTACATTTGATGGAAAGCAAATATCAAAGAGTAGAAAAATTAGGTTTACCAATAACAAACAAACTGGACAAAGTTGGACATGCATCAGTTTCCATCAGAACTACCTCAATTGACAAAACCATCTTTGAGAAAATGTAATTTGACGTGTATATAGATTTTTTAGTTTGGCCAAGGTCCAATCCACTAACATGGAGGAAGCAGGATTTATGTTCTACACTGCGACCAGCCACCAGTGGGGACACTTTGGCTTTACTTTTGGAGAACCACTGTATCATCCGTCTTTGTATACAGTCTATGTTTTAGATCCAAACCTGTAAATTGCGATCAACAAGCCAGTTGGTTTCAAAGTCATCGTCGTCTTCACCAAAAGGATTTATGAGCTGCTCCGCAACCTGAGGCAACGAGAAGAAAAAAGACCTCAACGACACAGAGGTGGAAAAGATTAATGTCTCACTGTGATGGGATCATGCAAACAATCTTCACCTTCAGCCAACCAACGTAGAAGAAAAACTGCAGGAGGGTGAACACAGGCAGGTAGAAGTCCAGATCGTGACCCGAGTAACCCTGAGCTGGATCCAAGAACTGACGACCAATCAGACAAGCCAGGAAGAAACTGTAGACGGCCACTGTCGCCACCTAATTAAAAAAGTCATGTCAGCTCTCAGAGTTTTGCAGCAAATCAGAGAAAACAATCGTTACTCTTTTTTTGTGGATTTCTATGGATGTTGTCTTTCATGCTTTTGTAAGTTTCGTCTGTACTGTACGTTTGTAAGTGTGGTGATGTTTTGTTTTGGTTTTTGTGATGAAAATTAAATATAATTAGTTTTAAAGCGTCGAGAAGAGTTGTTTTATATGAAGGACATAAAACGACAAC